ATGATATTTCCAAGTTGTTTTTAACCTGCTTTGTTTATGAGTTTTTTTTTTTTTTTTAGCATTTAATTCACAAGAATCACACTAGTAAAATAGGAAACATTTAGAAAAAGACAAAAGAAAAAAGAAACTAGTAAGCTTATATAATAGAGAAACAAAATATAGAGATTTTGTCGAAAACAAACGTAGAGATAAAGAGCAAAATTGTCATTTCCTAATTCCGTTAGAATATAACAGCTTTTGTGATGGAATGGTCAAAATGGGCCAAGTTGTACAGTTCAAGGGTGTGATTTGTAACGTTTCAAAGTTTAAAGGCCAAAATGGGACAACTAGCTTAGTTCGGGGGCTAAAAGTGAAAATAACCCAAAAACAAAAGGAAGAACAAGAAGAGATTAGAGAGTGAGAAAGGAAAGGAGGTGTCCGATGAAGGAAACGAAAAGAGAGAGCGCCTAAAAAATACATAGGGAAAAAATTCGTCAGTAAATAAGAAAGGTGATGTGGGGCCTACAAAAGCAAGTTTTTACTAAAATATTAAATACGTGGACACGAGAACTGGTGTGTGCATAAGAGAATGGTTTATATGAAAAAAAGTAACTTGTAATTAAGTGGATTTTGATGAGAAAGTTGAGCGAACATTTGTGAAGAAATTGAGATGGCATCTATAAAACAGTCTGTAACAGAGTGTGCATTTAGCACTTATCACAAATTATGATGGTAACCAAAACATATTCATAGATGGGAAAAGACTATATCACCCCTCCGAGAAAAGTTTAAAACTAAACGACAATAAAGTAAAATAGAATAAACAAGCGGCAAAAGTCATATACAGAAAACATGGGATATCTTAGTCTAAATTTTTATTTAAAGGACCGACTCCTTTTATCACTCTTTACTCAGAAGAGGTAGTGACTATTAGTTTCACATAAAAAAAATAAATAAATAAATAAAAAGACCGATCAGAATAACAAATAAACAATAATACATGGTAGGAAATGAATTACGATCACATTCGCCTGATAGATTATGTTTTCTCTAATCTTTCTTCTTTTCCCCCATCCAAGAATAAGATTATGCTTGATATGAAAACTGATAAAGTAATACTTTATAATACTCTCAATCAATAATAAGAAAACTTTAGATATATTTAGTGGCAAACTTTAGAGATACTCACATATTGGTTTTGTACTAGAAAGCCAATAGAATTTGAGGGAAAATTTAAGAACCAAATAAAACGAAGAGATGAAAAAAAAAAAAAAAAAAAACCTTAATATCACTCAAACAATAAACATTTACCTTCATATAACCAAATTAAAGTTTACAAGACATACGTATTTAATGAATTTCTTCTCATGCAAAGGGTGTCCTTGGGATTCTCCAACCAAAAAAAAAAAAAAAAAGAAGAAAAAAAAAAGAAAAGTCCTTGGGCCGTGTAGTAAGATATCCAAGCCCAGAGACAAAAAAAAAATGAAAAGAAAATAAAATAAAACTAGAAATGCAAAAAAAAAAAAAAAAAAAAAAAAATTTCAAGCTTGAAAAAAAAAAAAAAAAAGACACCAAACAAACAGCAATACCATACGTAGAAAGGATCCGTAGCTTAAAACCTCGTCATCAACGCCTTGCAGAGACCAGCAGCTGAGCTTCAATAAAATGTTAGCGCAAGAAAACAGGGTTTTGCATTCCAACAGTTAAAAGACAGTTTTTGAGGGAAAAAAACAAAAGCAAATTCAAATACTAAACTCGTACTAAGTTGCATGAAACATACTCAAACAATGTCTTGTGCCACCAATGGCATAAACTTAAGATTTATACCAATTAATTCATTAGTAAAAATCTAATAAATCAAAGTTCAGGGGCATAATGTAAAGATCTTGTATTTCGCGGCAGACCATGTAACTTTCTCTAACTTTATATAATTCATATCTATGAGACCCAATTATTGAACCCAAATGGAAAACGACCCAGATTTACTTATTACGCGTGGGCATTTAATCAGCCATTTGATCCTAAAGACGAGTCTAGTTTTATGCTCATTCCCAACCGAAAAAAAAAAAAAAAAAAAAAAAAAAAAAAAAAAAAAAAAAAAAAAAAAAAAAGAAAGAAAGAAAAGAAAAGAAGTCCAGTTTTATGCTCATTCGCCTAGAAAAGTCTAGTTTTAAGCTCATTAAGCCAAACAAGTAATATAGTTTTATGCTCTCTAGTTAAGATGGTTTACAATAACGTTCGTGTCTCAGCCACATCGTCCTAAAGATTAGTCAAGTTGCATCATAAACCCGCCTAAACTGTCTGTCATAGAATCAATGACAGAAATACTAATAATAAATTATTATCTTCATCCCTTCCAGAAAAATAAATAAATAAATAAATAAATAAAAAGTATTATCCTCATCCCTATTATTGTGGCCGAAGATGATTTCCTGCTTTTCCTATTCCATATCCGTCATTACTCATCACAAAAATCACATTATCCATTCCAGCTAGCTTTATCTGTTTCACATGTGCCTTTAGATAAGTAGTCAAATTGCAGCAGAGTAATTTTAATTGACATTTGTATTTCTCAGAAAAACAAAGCAGACCCCTAAGTCTCTTGGAACTAAATGGTTACTCTTAACATATCTGAAACAAAAACTTTCAAGGCAGAGCAGCTAATTACAAATCTAGTCATCAATATCTTAACTCTCCGACTAAGATTTCATCTACAATTTTAAGCTGTTTATTCAGCAGAGTGTCAAATAAACAGCAGGCCTCTAAGCTTTCTAATTCATTTCAGCTTCCCACGAAAACTAGTCTCACGATTCGAAATGCGTGAAATGTATTATAAACATCTAAAGAAATTTCCTAAGCAGTATCCGATATAACACCTAATGTCTAAAATCGCAAGTACCTAAACTAACCAACCTAAGTTACTATTGATAATTGGAAGCATGCATTTTCTTAGAAAGAAATATCTAGAACCATATAAATTCCTATAAATATTAACCAAAAAAAAAAAAAGAGAGCAGTTGCCACAAAATAAATCAGTACACTTGACAACCTTACCACATTAAAAAAGAGGACCGAGTAAACCTCTCCACTGAACTTTCAGCCTTTATGTTGTCTGCTTCGCGGAAACAGATAGGTCGAGTTTTGAAAAGATCTATTGTAGAAAAAAAAAAAAGAAATTTCACCAAAAATAAAAATCACCATTAAGCACTGATCCCAAAAGCTGGAATAAATATGGTGATAGTATTATGCATCAGACCTCAAGTCAAGACTCGAGACTATTAGCAAGAGACATAAGTTCTACGGATGATACTACTAACAAAGAAGCCTTTCCCTAAATTTAGCATTAACCATTATCTCCATGTCACTACTTAACACAAAGGAACTACTAAACAGCATAGGTGTAATATGAGCTCACGTAGAAGGCATTAACTTAGCATATTCTAACAGGCTAGGGAAAGAAACACCTAACCCAAGTAACGGAGATCAAGATGTTAGATTATGCATATCTCTCTATATTCCTCTCTCTTTTCCTATCTTTCTCTATCTGCATTCACTATTAGTTCTGCATCACCTAGGTTATCATTTGTTTGTTGGAACAGTTAATTGACGTTCTATTTGATTTGATAAAAAATTAAAGCTGAAATCCCAACAATTCTATCCACTATAGCTTACAGCACGTAAGACTACTGTTATTCTCATGGTATAGTATAATTTATTAGCAACAAAAACCCTTAGATGAATGTATATTTAGAAGCCTCTAAACCAGATAATTTAATGTGATACAGTGTTGTTGTCCAAGATCGCGATGAACCTACTTTTCACATACATAAATTCTAGCTCGTGTGTTCCAAAGTTTACACACACACATATGCGCCACTTCTATATATATGAGCCTCTCCATATCCTCTCCCTAAACAACCTTTTGATTGCTGTCTTGTTTATGAGAGGGCAGTGCAAATGTCAAAATAATCTGCATGTTTTTAGGTGTTAACTTTTTATCAACTGTAATTCACCACAATTGAAAAGATCTTATTAGCTTCGCAACAATGCCACATCCTTTAGCAAATTGTCATATAAACACCTCAGCAAAGCTGGAATTGGAAGAGCAATGTTGGAAATTAAATGACATATATTCTTCTCAGAATGACGAAAAAAGTTAGTCTATACTATATAATTGCCAAATATCAGATAGATATTAAACAGCACATAACACTAACAAGTTCTGCTTGTGACTGGTGAAAAAAAGGAATAACCGCAAGGAAGTATTCAACAATAAAAATGATGCGAACAAATTAGAATTATACATAATTTCCAAGACTTGATGCTGCAATTGTTTGCACAACACATTCTAGACCTCAGAGTCCAAAGATGAAAGAACTACCGGTATGAATGTACAAAACATTAAAACATTATTCTTTTAAATTTACATAAGAAAGAAAAGATTATCACACCTATCATTTTTACATATTTTCTTCTTTTAGAATCCTCATTTTTCTCATCATTTTATAATTCTTATTGACGCCATTGTTGTTCTGTTGTTTTGCTGTCGTTCACATCATTGTAGTTTTCTCAGAGCAAGCCAGCCTTTTCCCATCTCCTAATGTACTAATAAATGATGCGTTTATATCTATTATTGCACTAGAATTTTCTATATTACTTTTAAGCTACCAGAAGTTCAAATTCTACACTGTTGCACCAAAATTTTCTATAGGACTTTCATTTTCTAGAAACAGCGTTATCAGAAGTCTTATTCTATTCCCTCCTGAACAATGATTAAAATGAGGAAGAATGCCCATTTATATATAGAAGTTTTCTGCCTACATTGCCTTATTTTTTATTCAATTTTATATCTTTATTTCTTTTCTTTTTTGGGGCGGGTATTGTACAGAAAGTTTGAATCAAGTGTATATAGAAGTTCCTCCTCAAATTGAAGGGCTGTCAGTAACTACACACAAAGTCAGCAAGTTTATTTAGTTTATGCAAAGAGAAGAATAAAAATTACAAAATCATGAGACATGAGGAAATATGAAGCAAGAAGATGGCCCTGATTGCTCAAAATTTCCAAGAAACATACATGCAATACGTTAAAAGCAAGGAAAAAACTGCATAGCTAAAGCCTACAGCAAACACTAGTATAGCCTAAGTCAAAAAAAAAAAAAAAAAAAAGGGTCCTGAATAGTGATACATTTTGCCCAGTATAAATCTTTCAGATGCCTGAACACAGATTCTTAACAGTTATTTTTATCATACGAGGAAAACGCTAAAAGTTCGTTTAAAAGCCACTAGAAAAATCCTAACTCATCTAAAAAATACCACATGAACAAATAGAGTGATATCATCATACCACCTTCGACATGATATTGCTAATGTCACAAAAAGAGCTATCGGCATGCTTATATAAAAAGTCAACAAACTTAACTGCCATTGAACTTCACTTCCAAAAACCATCTGGATTAATATGGCAGCAACTTGAAAGCATAGACCACCCACAAAAGGGGAAAAGAGGTATGGAAGGGCAAATTCTACAGATCCTCATTAGAGCACCATTGTTAATCAATTGTCTTTCCCATGGCCCTCAGTACCAGCACTCCTAGGCTGACTTGCATCTCCAAGTGAGGATTGATCACCAAACGTTCTGTAATGTCACAAAAAAGGGAATAATGTTTCTAAATCACAAGAGAGGAGGATGGGCGGAAGGGGCAAAAACAATAATGAAATTTAGAATAACGTACAGTTTTTGCTTTTTAGCATTCTGCTTGATAGCGACTACCATATCCATAGCCATTTTCTGATGCTCTCTTGTTTGTGAATGCAATTCCAAGCCTTCAACTGTTTCACAGTCAACTTTACAGATTCGACACCATCCCATGGTAGGCAGTTTCCTTTTCCTTGATTTATCAAATGCCAAGTCTTCCTGAAGAAATCCCACCACAGAGTAATTAAATAATAATAAATAATATTAAGTATATAGAAATGAGAACAGAAAATATAAAAAAGCAACCTTGATAAAATAAATCTAGATAGTCGTTATCAGCTGAACGGCTCAATAGGACTTCCTTATAGAGATCCATAAGTGTGTGTATTAAATTTCTAGACAGATTGACAGCAAGTTTATATTTAATATTTAATAAATAAATAAATAAGAAAAAGAGCAGAGATAAGAACTTAACAGTAAAGATTCCATCGCCGGTGGGAAACCCATGAGATGAAAAACGGCTCCTGAATCCAGGCTCACCAAGATGCGGAAAACTTGGCCCATCACCCCTGCCAAATGAATCAAAGCTCCCAGGCCCCCCTATTTCCCTTATCCGTGCATGACGTGAATGAGCGCCAAAACCAACTGGTTCTCCCAAGTGAAAATGACCGTGGAAATCACCCATATGTTCCCCCCAACGAAGAGGACCAGATAAACCATCTCGTCCAATTAAATCATTCCTTAAATGATCACCCATTCCCATATTACGGGGACCTTCAAACTCACCCCTGCGCAGATGGCCAGGCAACATTGAAAACCTACTTTCATGGAATGAACTGTCAAACGGTTCACCAAATCTACGTAGTTCCCTACCATGAATGTCATCAGGGCCTGGACCTACAAATCCACGCAAGGAGATACCGGGATGTTCTCTAATTGGGCTTCGTGATGCCAAACTATCCATACGACGTCGATCATATCCAAGACCTGGTCCCAAAAAATCCAGATGGCCACGAGTGGGATCCATTCTCCCAAAAGCATCTCCACGATGCCAACCTAGCCGGTCTCCTCCATCATTGGCACCACCACCATTGTAGGGAGACAAGGATCTTGAGGGAACAGAGCCAACCCCAGAATCCATTTTTAATCCAGTATGATACTTCAGACCATGAAGTCCCCTATCAAAAGGCCTAGGGAATTGCTTCAGGTCATCTTCAAACTCTGCTCGTGGATTTGGGCCTGCTGGAAAGGGATTAAATCGCTCATCTCTTGGCCCAAGAGTCGATAAGGAATCAAAACCGTGACTATCATTCATCCTTGTCATATTTGGATGTATACCAAATGACTGAGAATGTGCTCCATGTTCCAAAGATCCTGCAAAATGAGGATCAGGCCCCCTACTATCCATGAAGTCGGGCCTTTGATTTGAAAACATTTCAGGACCATGAGGTGTTGGTCTTGCCATCATCCCACCATGTGAATTAAAAGCACGAGGTTGCAATACGCCAGAAGACTCTGCTCCAGTAGGTTCACCTTGAGATAATCTGAAAGCACCAAAAGGCCCTGGATTATATGGCCTTTGAGGGGCAAGGGACTGCAGTTCAGAGCTTTGCTGATTAGGACCATATTGATTAGGCCCTCTCCCAAAGGGTATTGCAGAACCTGGGATGCTACCGGGCGGATGAAGAGGATCCCCTGGTACCTGAGGCCTACAATGAGTTTGTGAGGCTCCAAACTCTTGTGTTTTATGTGGAGGTCCGGGCGGAGGTACTTGTGACAAAGGGGGAGGACCAGGTAATTGATGACCCTGCACCTGAACACTACGTGAATACGGTGATTTAACTTCACCCCCAGAAGCAGGACTACGGAGGATTTGTGCAGAAGGTGTAGGCACCACTTTTGAGGCCCTGTCAGAGCCACTAGCAGCATCCTTCACCGAGTCACCACCCTGCCCTTCGTGGCGTTCAACTGCTTGCAGTGGAGACTTTTTCTGCAGAGAACCACCCACATCCTTGTCTTCTACAGTTGAGTTCTTCATTTTTTCGGGTTCTACCTTAAGAACATCTTTTTTGTCCTCAGCAACCACTTTACCAGATTTACCGTTACTTGAATTCTTTAAAGTGCTCTCTACATCTTCCTCCTTCATCATTGGCTTAACCACAGGGTCCGTAGACTTCAAGTCAGTCTTGGACTTCTCGGTCTTTACCTCACCCACATTAGCCAACAAATCAAGCACTGAATCCGAATTATTCGTACCAACTTTCACAGTTTTATGGGAGGAAGCTACAACTTCTTGTTGGGCTGAGCCTTTCACAAAGTCTTGATTACCTTGCCTAATGGACATTGTTGCTGTTGAGTTTGCACCAGAATGTTCTTCAGAAGGCAACTTCATCTGGTTATTTGTTTTAAGTATATTATTCTGATTGTTTGCCTGTTGGTTTGTGCCAGGATACGTTGGCCTAATTACACCACCAGCATATTGCGTAAACGGCGGAGCTTGTACTCCCTGCGGCATGGAAGGCCTTCCTGCAACATTTGGGGACTTAGCATGTTGCATCGGTGGCTGAGGATAAGCATGAGTTTGCGGAGGAAATAAATGAGATGGTCCCGTGGGCCGAAACTGCGATGGCATGGGCAGCTGCGGCTGCTGATAATGTTGCTGCGGAAAAGTCTGTTGAACTGGTTGCATAATGGGGCGTTGATACTCTGGTTGTCCAGGAGGTTGAAAATAAGAATGTTGGACTGATTGTTGTTGTACAGAAGGGTTGTTTTGGACTTGACCCGGTGAAGGCAACAAAACTGGTTGTTGCTGATTCGGAATTGTAGCCTGAGGATGGGGTGGACGCATCAACGGTTGCTTAGGGAACTGTTGTGGGCCTCCAATCTGCACTTGTGGATCATTGTTAAGCTGAGGAAAGGAGTGATGACCCGTCACTGCATGAGCTGAAGGATGCTGAGTCTGAGACTGAAAGTTAGCATTTGGTGGTTGATTGGGCTGAGGACTAGGTTGAAGCTGCCCCAGTGGCTGAGCTTGTGAAACAGAAGGGGGATTCTGTGGTTGGACCTGTGATTGGATCTGTTGCTGAATTTGAGGCTGAGGATGAAGCTGCTGATATTGCGGCAATTGCACAGGTTGAGGATGGGGCTGCAGAGGGACCTGAGGTTGAGGATTGGGCTGGCCAGGTGCCGATGGATAAGTTTGGGGGTGAATTTGTGAATGTGGCGGTACAATAGAAGGTGCTTGCCGCTGTTGGTTAATTTGTGCCTGGTTTTGAGGTTGAGTAGCTACTGAAGCTTGAGGTTGGGACTGGGGTTGGGTTTGGGGCTGCAATTGAAGTTGAGGCTGCATGAAAACTTGAGGTTGAAGTTGGCCAGCTGCATTAGAAGCATGAGCCTGTTGCTGGTATTGCGGAACCGCCGCCTGTTGGTATGGATAGTATTGCTGATATTGTTGCTGATACGGGTCATATCCAGGATATTGTTGGTAATACTGTTGATATTGCTGCTGTTGTTGATACCATTGTTCAGCACTAGGTACAGCAGCCTGAACTACAGGTTGGGCTTGAGAGCTTGAAACTGATTGCTGATTGAGATCCTTTCCTGGTGCTGTAACCGCAGTTTGCAAAGGTTGGGCCTGAGAAGCCACCGCGGCTGCCTGAGTGGCAGACTGAGTTTGATCAGCAGTAGCTGCAGTGCCGCAGGCTGAAGCATCTGCAGCAGCCTGTACCTGCTGTGCTTGTGGCTGCACACCCTGTCATCGAATACGTATGTAAAGATCCGAGTCGAGAAAACCTTAAAATATTTCTTAAGAAAGGAGATTCACTCACAGGGCATGTTAGAGCGTGCTCCTGTACTTGACGATGCACAATCTGCGTTCCACACCTGTTGCACACAACAGGAGAATTGCCAAAAGCACAGCCAGAACAATGAGCCGTGCAATCTGATAACGATCCCTGCCATGAGCACCCGCTCCTGTGATAGAGGCAATGAACTGCTATTTTGCCAATGGTTTCAGCAAGGGACTCATTTGATTCAATAAGCGGCTGCCATTATTACCGGGTTAAAAGCAATGATCAAGCACATAAAAATATCGAAACTATTAAACTGAACCGAAGAGATAATACGGCACAAAGAAAAAACCTTGGAATCCGATTCCGTCACCAAGTAACCGTCGTAGGGACAAGCGCGTGTAGTGCTCACAATGTAAGTTAAACAGGGCTTGCAATACAAATGGGTACACTGCGACTGCAACGCTTCAGTCGGGTATACAAGCAAGCGACAAACGGGGCAAAAGTACTCCCCAGCAAGAGATTGAATATTCAATATGCACTCATTGTCAAATCCCATCCTGCCCTATTAGTCAAATTAAGCCGCAGCTCACCTACTACTGAATCAATGCCATTAACCTGAATACAGAGGCAACCCCATTAGAAGGAAAGAGAAGACATTTACAATCAATAAGCACTCAAATATTCTAAAAAATTAAAACAAAATGAGCACTGCACAGGAATTCACGAATGCACTATTCAAGAAACACGCAATTCAACTTAAAACTTAAAAGGAATGGGATCCCACCACAAATGAACAAATGAAGAACTGAACAAATCCATACAAGATTTTAGACAAGCTCATTCTAACAACATGAGAATTGTAGAGAGAGAGAGAACTCGAGTAATGGAGCGGAGAACCCTAGCCAAACCAGCGACCAAAAAGGGAGCAGACCACAGCAGAGCTCAGATGGCGGCCGCCTCGCTAATTTGGGTCTCACTCGACGGCGGCGGAAAAAGGGGCGACGGAGTTTTCGGAAAGGGTCTCCGGACGGCGTCGCGAGTCGACGACGAATCTTGGCGTCTTGGTGGCGAGCAAAACAAGTGAGGAGGAAGCACTCGGGTCTAATTTTTTTGGGGAGGCTTCGTGAGAAAATGAGGAAGAGAGAGATGATGAAGGGGAATGGGCTTACGGACTTCACATTGAGTTTTTGGGCCCCCAAACAAAATTGACGTCTTCTTTCTTTTTTTTTTGAGAAAAATATGAGAATGTTGAAAAATAGTAATTACTTATTTTAACAATTTAAAATTTTACTATCTATAAAATATTTTTTATGTTATATCTAAAGATGACTAGTAAAGTTTTGATATATAGGTCTAAAAAGCTCAATTATCATTGATGGTCTCCTACATGGGCTAGAACCATTAGTGATAAGGGAACTTGTACGATTTCCCATTACTGAATGCTAATCTAGTAGATTATTCTTGATAATCTACTACGTTATTAAAAATGAGTGCAAAATAGTGGGTGCAAACTTTTAAAGTGAAAATAGTGAAAATCTTAATGGTGTGTTTGGTCGGAGGAAATGCGGGAGGTAGAAGGATAGAGAGAGAAAAGTAAGTAAAGAGGTCAAGCAATTGTTTGATTAAATGAAAAAGGAACGAAGATAATTTCTTTTTAGAGCCCATTAATTTGAATCCTTTTATTAGTGAATGGTTTAAAGATATACATTAAATTAAAGCTAAAAAGAATATTTAACCCTTCAAAAGAATTATTAACAAATAGTAAACTAGACAATAGACAAACAACTTTCAAATAACACAAAAAATTACCGTAATTCTAGCAACCCTTTATATTCCTCATTAAGATGAAGGAGGAATTCGGTCTAACAAAAAATAATAGGAGTGTTTAGAGTTTACATTCTCATTTCAAGGTTTTTTTTTTACCAATTAGTTGTCGCTTTTTTTTCACAATCTTTTATTTGTTATTATTGGCAGAGCCACGTGAAGATTAGTGGGGAACGTCAATATTTAAAATTTTATTTTTGGATTTGAGATTTTATAAAAAAAATTAGTGCTTTTGGTTTAAAAATTGTAATGTGCGCTATTTTATATAAAGAATTATAATTATATTTCTATTTAATAATTGAAATATATCGTTGTGCTTTTATTTTAGGAGAAAAGTGCATTTAAAACTTGTTCTAAAATAATTTTATTTTTTGTATGAAAATGAAAATGAAAACGTTTTCAATCTTAGACATAAATTATTTTTAAAAATGCGTTTGATAATTTTATCAAATGATTGCTTTGAGTATAAAAAAATCTATTAATGTCTCTCTCTCTACTCGAGAGAGGAGAAAACGGAAATAAAAAATAAAAAACGACTAAAAGTCATTTTTTATTTCTCTCTTATTTTACACTAAATTAAAAAATCATTTTTATTAATGTTTTTTATCTTTAATTATATTAAACGTCATTTCTCTCTTAATTTATTTTTTTTTCTTAAACAACGTAACAAATAAAAACAAAAATAACTCTAACACAGCCTATGTGTGCCTCCACACAATTATGAAATACATAATTATATTTGTATTCAATAAAAGTTCTTTTTTTTCCTCAAACTACGTGTGCTTTTTTTCCCCGCAACTGTCGTCCTTTTGAGGTTGTTCTTGTCCATTTGGTTTCATCTAGTGCTGGAACTTTGGACGGGTCGCCCGTGACCGCCCGAAAAGCCCGAGGATTTGCCCGAGCCCGACCCGCCTGAGATTTTCGGGCCGCCCGCCCGAGCCCGAATTTCACCTTGAACGGGCCGCGGGCTTGTATTTGGCAGCCCGAGCCCGCCCGAATTGCTCGAATTTTTTAAACAAAATGAACACACGAACTCGGGTTTTCGGGCAGAATTCGGGTAAAAATTCAAAAAATAGCCGTTTTCGGGTTTTCGGGCAATTCGGGCAACTCAGGTTTTCGGGCAAAATTCAAAAAACTAGCCGTTTTCAGGTATTCGGGCACCTCGGGCAGGTCGGGCAATTCGGGTAGGCGGGAAAAATTCGGGTAAAATTCAAAAAAATTCAAAAATTCGGGCTTCGGGTCGGGCAATTCGGGCACACCCAATTTTCGGGTCGGGCAGTTCGGACTTCGTCGGAAAAATTCAAAAAAATCCCGGCGGACGGTGGTTAGACGGCGGCGGGCAAGGGTGGACATGTCAAATTCGGGCTGTCCGAGCCCGAACCCGAATTTCTTGCTTGGGCGGGCGGGAATTGGGCCGACCCGCCCGAGCCCGAAAAAATTCGGGCTTCGGGCGGCCCGCCGACCCGAAGTTCCAGCACTAGTTTCATCCATTCTCACCTCCATCGTATCCTTCTAACATTTATCGTCGTTTATGATTGACGTTTTTTTGTTTTCAATTCGTTAGTCTTTTATGCAATGATTGTCGTTTTTGAAACTATTTCTATTACACATGTTCAATTTTACTTAGCCCCTTCAAAAATTTAGGACCTGAACTGTTGATGTTCCGGCATATGCAGTATTGAATTCCCTGGAAAATGAAAACAATCAGTATTTGAGCAAACTGTAAATGAGCAAACTATTGTCGTTTACCCTTCTTGTCGTATTTCAGGTCCACTGTTGTTTATAGCAGAGGATATTGTTTTCTTACATTATTCAAAACTACACAAAAACAAAAAAGGTATCAACGAAATCCTGAGATGAAAGGCGAAAATAAATATTTTCATCTGCTCGAATACTACTTTAATAGAGAGTGAGAAGAAAAGAAAGAATTCATAGTTTGGAGATCGCAATATTATAAACCTTGAAAGGTCCATAGTTATGGAGAATCATTTTATTCAGAATCACCTCTAACAACTTCTTTAGGCAGCCAAAGCAAAGACATCGATGAATTCCAGTCTCGCACCAGAAAAAAGAAATGGGTAAAGATGTTTATAAACCATTTTTATGCAACTAAATTAACATGATAAAATTTATTAGCTCATCCAAGTAATTACAAGACGAACCACCTTCCCTTGTAGAAACTTCAATTTTTTCCTTCAATTCCTTGGCTCTTTCCCTCATCTCCTTCCCTTCATCATCCAACATAAGTCTTCTTACAACTCTCTCTATCTCCTCTCTCTCCAACTCCTCCAATTCCAACCCAACTCTCCACACATGGCTCACATACCTTGCATTCACTCTTTGGTCACTAAACCATGGTTTACATATCATTGGAACTCCTTCAGTTATACTCTCAAGAGTTGAATTCCAACCACAATGGCTCCAAAATCCTCCCACTGCAGGATGAGCCAAGACTTCCCTTTGGGGTGCCCATCTCACAATGCATCCCTTATCCCCAACAACATCTTGGAAACCTTTGGGCAACAGCTCAATCCAATGAGAACTCCGAATCGAATCGGGTCTAATCACCCACAAGAAACGCTGCTCGCTGTTGGCTAGTCCCGAAGCAATTTCGGATACTTCTCTCTCACCAATGGATGCTAGGCTTCCCAAGCTGCTCACATAAATGACTGAGTTATGGGGTTGCTTGTCAAGCCATGATAAGCAGCTTCTGTCATCTTTGATGAGGCCACTACAGATATTTGCGGCTGCCATTTTATATATTGGACCTATAGGGAAGACTGGTACTTCAGATTGTTGTTGGACTTGATCTAGAGTTGATTGCTCAAGGCAGGTCATGGTATTCCATATGATGGCGGATGACGTCCTCTTGTTGTATGCAATGGCTATTAGTCGTACAAACCTTTCGAAATCTGGACTTGGGGAAAAAGGGAGATCTTTAAACCTGAGGGGATGAAGCCCGGGTACTAAATCATGTGAGAAAGGACCTGCGATATAGATATCAATAACTCATTGCTGTTTAGTTGATCACAATTCAAACCTTTTTGTTACCGTGTTCTCTCACCAAAATTTAAATTTTCTGCTCAAATTTACAAATCAAATGGGCCCTAAGACTTGATTAACTTTAGCCCTTCTTACACCACGGAGTAGTACTTTTCCGTGGCAAAAATCGAGTCATTTGCAAAAGACTTGTCATGTTAGCATTAGAAAGTTAATTACTCTCTCAAAGACTGAACTCAAGTACAACTTTTATTTTTTTTTCTCCAGAATCTCTTAAATCTACTTTATTTACTTTATTTTCACAGACCACAAAAGCCCATGTAGTTGAGCACATACCTTGGAAAGGAAAAGGAATACCGCCTTCTTCCTTAATTGTAACAAGGCGACAGCGCGCGAAAGTAGTGGCAGCGCTAGTTGTGCGCAAGATTATGCTTGGAAGCTTCAGATTGTTGGCTGCATCCTCAGCGAAGGACATGAGTTCATCAGAGATTATGCAGCTGATAATCTCACCCTGCAGCCTTTTCTCTTCCATAAGTTGTTCAATTCTTCTTTCAAAGGTCTTCTTGCAATTGTCATTAATGGTCAGTATATGAGCTACAACATCACTCGATGCGAGATCATGGTCAGATAAGCCGTCCGGAAAAGGAAGGAAGCTGAAATCAGGAAGGTTGTGAGGATTTGGAGAGTTGTAAATGGTGTGAGCAATTGTTATGGAGAAGCCTTTGGAGTGAAGAACTGTGCCAAGTTGAAGCATTGGATTCAAGTGGCCTTCATATGGACAGGGAACGAGCACCAACCGGCGACTTATCTGGTTTTGTTTACTCATCTGATCTCTTGTTCAAATTACACAAAATTACTGTTGTAGCTTTGGACATAGAAAGAGAAAGAGTTACTTCCTTAATGTGAAAGATTGGAAATGAAATTTGTGCTTTAAAGTATGAATTGTTGAAAGAGATGTAGCTTTTAGAGGAGGACAAATTCAATAGTGATGTGAGGGTGGTCCTGAAAAACTTGAAACTTTTTTTTTTTATTTTTTTCTTGTAGAGTTAAGTCAAGTTTGCTACGATGTTAGTTAGAAGACAAAAACATGACAACTATATTTGGTGTCCTGAATCTTGATCACTTATTAACAAAAATACTAAAACCAAAATGACAAAACAAACAACAGGTGTATTATATAATTGCAGGAATTTCATCTAGAGATGATGATCTTCTGTTAGAATTTGGAGCTTTGCCGGCTCGGTTCAGGATTCAGGAATATTCTCTACAATATTAATATTATATTGTTATGTGATTAATCACCCTACACGCAAAGTTAAAATCAAAAGCGAAAATAAAAGTAGGATGAAAAGAAAGGAGACTAAAATAAGACTGTGGACGTTTGATTTATGGATTCAGTACTATTTTTAATTTGCGTATATTTTTTATGAGAAAAAAATACTATAACGAGTTACGACTCATAATTTAAACTATAACACAAATCTTCAAATTAAACACCCCATCTGTTCAACTGTTTAACCTACAATTATGCCACATTTTGGTGTAGTAACGCACGCTGTCCACACAATGTCAATAAAAAAAATAAAAATAAAAAAGGACCACACCAATTTATTATCTTCATATTTAGTACGTCAACTTGACATTAGCGGGGTGATTCCAGATGTTGGGAGTGTGTGAACAAACATCTCGTATGCCGGCAAGTTTGACTTTTTAAGATGAAATTCTAATGCAATATCTCAGTCTCTATTTATTTCATAAGTTTAAATTATCGTTAAAATTTTTTTATTCTAGTATTTTTTTTATAAAATTTAAATTTTTATTTAAATTTATAAACTAAACGTGTCAGTTATTTTTTTGAAAAAATAATGCAATTTATCTGTTATTATTTTTTTTTAAAGGAATTTTTCTGTCCGTTTTATTGAAGTATTTAGGGAGAGAATTTAAGACATACTTAATAGAGCTTTCTGGAAGTTGATTTTAGCTTCTTATGACTGAAAGCTGGTTCTTTTAAGTATTTGAATGCTCTGTCAAAAAAAGTTTGCACTCTCCACAAGAGCTTCAAGTCAAAATCACAAAATATGACTTCTCAAAAAAACACTTCTAAATAGATTTTAAAACTTATATCAAACTTTTTGTTTAGGAGACTTGTAATTTAGGTAAGACATTATAAACTTCATTTTAACATTTTTCTTGCTTATTAAAAAATTTAAAAATTATTCTAACTCATTTAATCTCGTTTATAAATATGGTTCTGATAGCATGTTTACCTACGCGTAATCATAATGACCATGAATCAGAGTGAACATGATTAAGAGTGGATAGAATTCAGAATGAGTAATTGAAGTCAGAATAAGTTGTTTATTTGATGACATAAGTTGGAATAAGAGTCATTCTAAATCTTATTCATGCATTTACTTACACCTAAAATTATGAACTAGTGTAAAAGTACTAACACACTCTTTAAGTAAATGTTGTATTTTCAATTTAAAAAATAAATTGTGTAGTTATTATATTAAAACTAATCACAATTAAAATATTTATTATAATAATAAGGTGGTGAAATAATAAATATAAGTTGCATACTTATTTAAAATGTGAAAATAGATTGTCAAAATTTGAATAAAATAAATAAAAAATAGAATAAAATTTGTTAAAAATTAAAATATATTATTAATTTTTATAACATAATAAAGTACATATTTATTATAATAAAGTTAATAATTATTAGGATAATATTAGTATATTAGACAAATAAAATAATAAATATAGGTAGTTATTATGACTTTTTGAATTTTACATTACATTTAATATTTCATAAGTAAATTAGAGATATAGTAATTTAATGTTAATATCAAGAATGGGAGTCTCAAATCGGAAGGGGGCATGTGATTGTCAATCTCATTCTCTCAATTCTAAATTTGAGTGGGACCCACCAATTTCACACTCATTCCATGATAAAAAGAACAAATAAACATAGGATTGACTCCCGTTCTCCAATCTTAATAAGTAAACATGTCATTAGTGCTAAGTCGCATAGTTAATGCATTATTTATGGAGAATGAGTGGAGATAATTTAGTCACGCGTTCTTCCAAAGATATGATTGTAAGTAGAGATGATTAAACATAAGAATAAGTAAACATAAGATTGAGTCTCGTTGCCCAATCCTATAAGTAAACATGTCATTAGTGCTAAGTGGCATAGTTAATGCATTATTTATGGAGAATGAGCGGAGATAATTTAGTCACACGTTCTTCCAAAGATATAATGATTGTAAGTAGAGATGATTAAAAAAAAAAAAAAAAAAAAAAAAA